AGTCATCTAAAGACAGTGCCCACGAGAGGACAGGTCTGTGAATTCTTCACTTGCGTGCACAATTGTAAAACCACTTAGGCTCAGGGGACAACAATAATGAGGGTTATTTAACAAAAAGGGGAAACAAAGAGTTACTAAGGTCACAAATGGCTGCCTATTTTACCCTAGATGGTGTCCACAGCGCTCAGAAGTCCCAAGCAAAAGGCCACTCATCCAAGATAGTGCTCTCCCACCAGCAAGGCCCTGGTGCGTGTGGCAGCGACAGCAGGCTGGGATCTAGGTCACGGTGGCAGTTATGGCTTTTCTCTTTGGAGATTGGCTGCTGAAAGTCTTTTCTTTCTTTGTAGGCCAGAAACAAGATCCCAGGAATCTGGGCCTCTCTAGATCTCAAAGTCTGGATGGGGGGGTCTGTGCAAACTCCTCCACTACCTTATATCCTCTCCTCAGGTCCTCCACCCTCCTTGATACCTTCTGATTGGTCCATTGAACTTGGCCGGCACCCAAGGGAGGGGCTACACTTTGGCAGCAGATTTTGGCTTAAGTGTCAAGCTTTTCCAATGGCTCCTGTGCCTTAGGCAGTGATAAAACAACAGTCTTGCCTTGCACTGTAGAACCCTGGTTACAGATAGTAGGAGAATATCTTTATTTAATTTTTGGCTCATTCATTCTGTTTTAAAACCAAACATGGATGGAGTTTTTTTTTTTTAAAGATTTATTTATGCATGTAAGAATTGGGGTACAGGCCAGAGGTGTGGGGGGTTGAGAGGATTCACCAGAGACAGAGTGGGGAACAGAATAGGCAGATGGACTGAAGTACAATGCTGAGGGGAGCAGCGGGTGAGACAGCAGAGGTCTACTCCACCATGTGGGTAGCTCCCTGGCTGGCCTGGGATCGAACTCAGACTGCAGAGGCTGCATATAGCTTCACAGTGCTGTGCTTAACCCCTTGCGCTACCAGGGAGGCCCAGATGGAGTTATTGTTTAATGGGTACAGTGTCAGTTTGGGAAGACGAGAATATTGAACATGGATGATGCAGATGATTGCACAGCAGTATAAATTCAGTTAATGGCATTGAACTGGGCACTGAAAGGTGGTTACAATGGTAACTTTTATGTTATTTGTATTTTACCACAATTTCAAAAATGCAAATATGGGCATGTCTTTCTAACACAAGAAGAAGTCTAGGTAGGTAGATATAAGGGTGGTTCACCATCACTAGGATCTCAGAGTCTGTCTTTAGAATCTTAATAGATGGACCTCCCTGGTGGCGCAGCGGGTTGAACGCAGTGTTGTGAAGCTGTCTGCAGCCTCTGCAGCGTGGGTTCGATTCCTGGCCTGCTGGGGAGATTCCCACATGGCAGGACGGACCTCTCCTGTCTCGCCCTCTGCTCCCCTCAGCAGTATATTTCAGTCAGTCTGCCTGTTCTGTTCCCCATTCTGTCTCTGGTGAATCCTCTCACCCCCTGCATCTCTGGCCTGTACTCCAGCTCTTGTATAAATAAATAAAAAAAAAAGCCTTAACAGCATGGCTTCATCTCAGGTACCTCTGCAATTTAAAACTCATCTTCTCAGGTGAGGAAGGAGGGAAAAGTTGATGCTAGCTAGCTAGCCACAGCTCAGGGAAAAAAACCCAGAACTTTCTTACATCTCAATATGCAGAGCTGGGTCTTGTGGCCTTGATAGGTGATTTCTTAGCTTCCCAATCTTAGAGTCAAAGAGAGACATCAAGTGGGGGTAGGCACTGATTAGACAAACAGTGGCATCCAGCACCCTCCTGGTCACCGGGCTACATCTTGGGGCTTGCTGGAACTAGGGCTCTGGCTTCTACTCCCAATTCTGAGCAAGTTTGTTAGGACATTTGATACATTTTCTAGGACTAGATTCCCAGTTTCAAAGATATTACATATTTGAAAGTTATTGAGAGTATAGAGCCTAAAAGTCCTCATCACAAGAAGGGAAAAATGACTTTGTAATCATGTAAGTGGATAGATGTCAGCTAGACTTATGTTAGCGATCATTTTGCAATATGTACAAAATATCAAATCAAGTCACATGCCTGAAACTAATATAATGTTTTATGTCAATTATAGTTCAATTTAAAAAGCACATTGAAAGTGTTTTTTTTATCAAGTTTGGGATGCCTAGAGCGTTCACTTCCACAAAGCAGGAAAGTTTCACTTACAACTCAAGTCAAATGCATAGAACCAGAATATGAATTTATTAAGGGGGATTCACATTACAATAATATAAGAATACAATTCAATTAGGAGCAAAAGGGGGAAGGCGCAGGAGATGCACACAGAGAAGGTGGGACCATGCTTGGAGAGTTTCTGTAATCTGGACACTTGCAGGGAGGGGAGAGTCACTTCTCAGAACCAGAGCCCCTAGGGGCTCTCATCAAAACTTGGAGGTTTGAGGACTACAGACGTGGATTCCATCATTATTTCAAGCTGCCTCAAATTTGGTGCCTGTATTTATACCACTTTTCCAAGGCATGTTGTCAGGACCACCTTTTAGTTTTGACTTAGAAGGGGCCTCTCAGCACTGGGTTTTATCTACCCTTCTCCTTTGCCTGCATGTTTGTCACTATCTTCATAAACAAGTGGTTGCTTTTTAAATGATAAGTTGCTCTATCTTAATTGCCTACCTCTTCATGAACCAGCATCATTACAATGACAGTATATATGACAATCAGAATGATAGCATGGAGGTAGAAGCTACAGAGGAGAGGAGGAGAAAAGGACAAAGCCCTCTATTGCATGCACCAAAGGAAGTGACATCAATTGCTCAGAGGTCATGTCAGGAGAGCACCCAGTACACCAGAGCTCTGCTCCAGGCTGGCTGGAAGTTTTGGGAAAGGTCCTTAGGTTTTGCCCTTATGGAATGTGATTTTTTTTTCTTGGTTAACATTGCTCATTAAATGCTCATTAAGTGTTTTGGTAAATCTAGATGAAAGACCCTGTAGGAGGAAACATAGTTATTAACCAACCACATACTATCAAGGATGGGCTTATAACACAAGATGATAGGTTTCAAATGTTGGATCAGGATGACAGGAACTTCCAACCTTTCTCCCTACCAAGATTAGAGTAGAATCAGGGTTTAGGGAGCGCTTAAACAAGGAATATAAATAAACATCCTTATTATCATCACCTTGCCATTCAAGGATGCCTGGATGTGCTCACTTGACTTTTAAAGATAGTAGATTTCATTCTCCCCCATCTCATCACTAGCTCCTTCTAGGGGAGGCACCCAGGGAGATGGAAGGACCTGCCATGTGTGTGGAAGGAAACCGGAGTCTCTGGAGAAACTCCTGCATACATGGAGAGAAGATGCAGATGCCATACAGATGGTGGCCCAGACCAGAATGGATTGTTTCTTTTTCTCATCAATATTAAAACGTTACTCAAGGACCCGCTGTACTGAGCTTTTTAGCATTTAGTTGTATTGAAGTTAACTTTTTATACGTGTCTCAGAAACTGTGCCAGGAGTAGGTACTATATGGGGCAGGTTTTTGGGGAACTCCCCCATTTCCAAGGATGTCCAGCCAAGTGACAAACCCTTGGTAAACCCTGGAGCTGGGCCTGTGGGACAGGCTTCCCCTGGCTCTTGCAGGTTGGACTTTTATTTTATGAAGGTGGGGAAACTGGGAGAGTCTATTCCAGGACAGACAGTGAAAGAAGCAAGAGCCTCCAGGCCCTGATGAAGAAATGGTATAGCTCAGTGCCCTTGCAAAGGGTCCCCTGGGGTTAACTCACAAGGACATGCCCTGAACTCCGCAACCCATTCATGGGAAAAGGCAACTCTGGGTAATTGGAAATGAGATTGTTTCAAGGAGGGGGAATTCTTAAATGGTAGGGGAAGAAAATTCAGTCCTGCAAACACGGGAACAGAATACCAGAGTCAGCTGAGGAAGCCCAAAATATTATTGCATAGAAGAGATACATTTTTATGAGTTTACTGTGAATAGAAATGTAAAATGTAAATGTAAAAATAAATAAGTAAACAGAAAACAAATGTAGTCGCTTCAAAGACAGCACACTGATCACCTAGATGTAGTACCTAAAGGAATCGGCCCTCTGGTCACACCTATCAGATTCACTCATTTGACAAGTAAACAATTCTTGAGTGTTTTCGCTGCATCTGTTTGCTTTTTTGTGTTGTTATTAAGGAGCACATGATGTCTCTATGTCACTCTCCCACATCTTATAGATAAGGGAAGATGAAGCTGAACTGCAACTTCAATCTTTTTTGTTGTTAGTTCTTACTTATTTCAGGCATCCAAAGGCTAAACTTGCTTAAAAGAATAGGAGGTTCTGAATGATCAGCACCACTTCTAGGACATCTTTACAGGACATCTTTACAGGTTACAGGAACAAGTTTTTTTTCCAGAACCTTCTCAAATGAGGCTCATGTCTCCATGAATTTACTATTGCCTATGTTCCCAGCCACCATAAAGAGATTATGGTATGGGTATCAGAGTATTGTATTCTGGCTCTGCATCATCATAAAACAGATGCACATGGGCCTTCCTGGTGGCCCAGGGATTAAGTCTCAGCGCTACCACCACTACGGCTTGAGTTTGATCCCAGGCCAGGGAACTTACCCACATGGCACAGCAGACCTCTCCTGTCTTGCCTGCTGCTCCGCTCAGCAGTGTATTTCAGTAGATCTGCCTGTTCTGCTCCCCATTCTGTCTCTGGTAAATCCTCTCACTCCCCCCACCCTGCACCTCTGGCCTACACCCCAGTTATTCTATGCCCCCCCACAAAGACTCACTTGCAGCCTTGCTTAAAAAGTTGGTCAGTATAAATAACACATACATTCATTCACATTTTTCATAATAGACCCCGATTCTAGTGGGCCAAGTTTTAAGAGTCTGAACATACATCTTAGTATGCAAAAGTTAAATAACAGTAATAAGTTAATAAATACATAAATTATTTAAATACTTAAATAACATCAAAGTTAATGGCAACCTGCTTGCTAGACTCTATAAATAAATTAGTTGATTGTTCCAGTGGGCACTTAACATTTAAATATAAAAATATAGCAAAGACAGCATCATTTTAAAAAAAATAATAAAGCAAATCAGTTAGAAAATATCTTCTTGGGTCTATTTCCTGATGTTTGCATCATCTCTTCCTCCAAGGTTTCATCCTGGATGAGAACCTGAAAAAGAGTGCCAACAGTCTATGTGGATTAGAAGTGCCAGGGCAGTGCCCTTGCACTTGGTGGCGCAAGGAGTTAAGAAGCAACCAATGAGGAGCAAAGAAAGTTTGTTCAATAAATGGTGCTGGGAAAACTGGGTCGCTACGTGCAAAAGAATGAAGCATGACCACTACCTCACACCATACACAAAAATCAACTCAAAATGGATTAAAGAACTAGACATAAGACCTGAAACCATAAAATACATAGAAGGAAATATAGGCGAAACACTACGGGATTTGCACATCAAAGACATCTTTACAGACACATCACCCAAAGCAGTGATAGTGAAGAGAAAGATAAACAGCTGGGACTACATCAAATTAAAGAGCTTCTGCACAGCAAAAGAGACAATAACAAAAACAAAGAGAAACCCCACCAACTGGGAGAACATTTTTGCACCCAACACTAATGATAAAGGACTGATGACAAAAATCTGCAAAGAGCTGATGAGACTCAGCAACAACAAAGAAAATAATCCAGTCAAAAAATGGGCAGAAGAGCTAAAAAGAAACTTCTCTGAAGAGGAAATGCAAATGGCCAACAGACATATGAAAAAATGTTCAACATCACTTGTCATCAGGGAAATGCAAATCAAAACTACCATGAGATACCATCTCACACCAGTGAGAATGGCACATATTAAAAAAACTAGCAACAACAAATGTTGGCGAGGATGTGGAGAAAAAGGAACTCTTGTGCACTGTTGGTGGGAGTGCAAACTGGTCCAACCACTATGGAGAGCTGTGTGGAGATTTCTGGACCTACTAAACATAGAGCTTCCATATGATCCAGCAATTCCACTCCTAGGTATTTACCCAAAGGACACAGAAACATCAATTCCAAAGAGCACCTGCACTCCTATGTTTATAGCAGCACTGTTTACAATAGCTAAGCTTTGGAAACAACCCAAATGCCCAAAAATAGATGACTGGATCAAGAAGATGTGGTACATATATACCATGGAATATTACTCAGCCTTCAAAAAAGATAAACACATGCAATTTGCAGCAACATGGATGGCACTGGAAGGGATCATGCTCAGCGAAATAAGCCAAAAAGAAAAAGAAAAATACCGGATGGTCTCACTCATAGCAGGAATCTAGAAAACTTAAATAAGGGACCAGGAAAATGAATATAAGAAAGTGAAAATCAAAATCAACAAAAAACTATGAACCAGAGACACTTTTTGGGGGGTGGGGGGCGGGAGGGGAAGGATTGGGGTCAGAATGGGGCGTTTGCAATTGTATGGGGGAATATAAAAATAAAATTTAATATTTAAAAAAAAAATAAATAAATAAAGTTACCTAGGGGGAAAAAAAAAAAAAAAAAAAAAAGAAGCAACCAATGAAACTATCCACAGCTACTGCAGCACGAGTTCGATCTCCCACCAGGGAGCTACCCACATGGCTCAGCAGACCTCTCCACTCTCGCCCGCTGCTCCCATCAGCAGTGTATTTCAGTGGATCTGTCCTGTTTCCCGCTCTGTCTCTGGTGAATCCTCTCACCCCCCACACCGCTGGCTTGTACCCCAGTTCTTGTATGCATAAATGAATAAATCTTTTAAAAAAAGTCACAGAAGAAAAAAAAAAAGAAATGCCAGGGCAAACTCATTTCACACTATATACTGTCTGGACCATTCCTTAAAGGGGCCTGCAGTTTGGCTTGCCAGAGGCTTTCTTGAGAGTTTTCTGAGAATATCTGATCATGTCATATCTTTGCTTAAAGCCCACCAGTGGCCCCCAGTGCCACCCCTCTAAGCACCAAATACACAAGGTTCTAACTTTAGGAGACAGCTGTCCAGACTGTTGAGGGGGAGGGACTAACGCTTTTCCTTCTTGCCTTTCCCTTAGAGGAGCAGGGTCCCATCTGTTTCCTTTCCTATGTCTTACAGATAGAGGCTGAAGCTCAACTTCAACTTCAATCTTTTTTGTTGTTGTTAGCTCTTGCTAAATACGGACATCCAAAGACTAAACTTGCTTAGACGTGCTCCTGCATTACATAAGTACCCTTGTGTCCAGCGCAGTGCATGGAACAATACGGTTATCGAATAAATATCTGTTAATGAACAAACGTGTGTTGCTGACTCTGAAGACCCTGTGCTGGTGCCCATCCCCCCTTTCTCTCTCGTGGGAACCCCACCCTTGTCCTGCACCTGGAACATAATGCAGGTGTGCGAGGGGGTTGCGAGCCTGCTCACCTAACTGCAGGACACAGATGCCCATTCGCTCCATGAGGAGCTGTAGTAGCGGTCCCGCGCTTGCACGTGGACCTTGGCATCCTTGTAGCACTTGACCTTGGCGGAGGTTGTGTCCGTGATGATATTTTCCTGCAAAAAAGAGGGTCATCTTTTTCAGCACAAAGGTGCACCGTGCATATTTCTGCCAAGCACGATCTTCCAAAACAAGCACACCCTGGTCTCAGGGTACCTGGTGCAAGGGGAGCGTGCAGAGCGAGCGCCACCTACCGACAGAGCTTAAACCTAGACGCGAGCTGCACGGGATGGGTCTGGCCACCTTTGGTCTTTCCAGCATTGCTGCCTTGTAGAAAAGGTGCCGAGCACTAGGTGGGTCTGAGACGGTTGTCCCTTTGATAGTGAGAAATACCAGACCCCTGTCTTTTCATCAGACCAACTCGGGTTCAAAATGTAGGCATGGCTACCGATAAGCTGTGTTCCCAGAGAAAAATAACTGAGGATCTCTGTGTCTTATTTTCCTCATTTATAATAATACCTGATAACATCACACCTACTTCATAGAGTGGTAAAAGCTAAAGGTAATAAAAATGTGACACTCTTAGCAAAATCTTTAACCATGTAGAAAGTGGTCAGTAAATATTTCTATTAATGATATAGGCATTATGCAGGGAAGATATATCTCAAAGTTTAAAATAATTAGAAAATCTCTACTCCAGAATAGCCCTTCCATTTGTAAAAAATTGTCAGAATCACTGAGTTTCCCCCCCATGGTAAAGGCTATATTGAATGGGGCTTTTATATAGCAATTTTAAAACTGGGTTCTTTTAAAAGCAAATTTATTTATTTATTTTTATTAAAAGCAAATTTTACAGGAGGCCGGGGTGCCTTTGGGATGTTGGGTTGATGCTGCCAAGACAAGAAAGTTTGGAAATCACCTACTTATCCCATGTAAATGCCAACAGTCTGTTTAATAAGATCATTTCCTCATATGTGGAAGAGCTGGGGGTTATCTGTTTTGGGTCAGACAGAGTGGAATTTTCTAGCATTCACTATATTCACTCAGTTGAAACAATAATTTGAGGCTCTTAACTAACCTCTCTGAGCTTCCATGGGTTCTTGTGTGAAGTGGTAATAACAACACCGCCTGCCTTTGAGGGTTATGAGAGGACTGGGTGAGACACACCAGTAAACCTTAGCGCAGTTGCACAGAGTCGCATAAAAACCTTGGTGGTTCTTATCACTGTTCATCTCCTTGATGTGGGCCTACATAATCCTGACCACAGAATATACAGCACTTGAATCACAACATACCTTTTCTTTCTTGTTCTCCAGGACCTGAACAGAAAATGTCAGGGAGAAGTAGGAATGCGGGGTGCTCCAGGTGTCAGGGTACTCCCAGTTGACCTCCACATGCCTCGAGTTCTTTAAAGGATTCAGCTTCAGGTTCTTGGGTGGGTCTGGCTTGACTGAGGAAGAAGATAGAGAAACATCCCTTATTTGCCTAGTGTGGCTTGGGCATGAGGTAGTTCTGGCTTCAGACCCGACTTTCACTTGGGCCAGCTGCGCGTCCCTATGATAGTTACTTAACTTCCCTGAGCACCTGCGAGCCCCTGTGGTGTTGGTGCTGTGGAAGCCACATCAGACCAATCACCACATCCTTTACAGTTAAACCAGAGAACTGTGTCACTCCCGCTCTGAGCACCAAACTCAGAGCCATGCTGAGATGCTGAATGGGGATGAAGTGAGAGATTTTCCACTCATGGCCCTTTCTTTTGTCTTTTCGTGGCATCTAGCACTGACTTGTCCTAGTTATAGCTCACTTGTCTCTGCTCAATGGTTCATTCACTTATGTAATAAGGTATCACCGAGCATCCGTGATGTAACAAATAGTGCACCAGGCATGGGGGGACAGCAGTGAGTGTCTCCGTCTGTCCTCAAGCACATGAAGGAGGATGGTCCATGAAATGTGTTGGGCCCTCTAACTCCAGCAGCACTCCACACAAAGACCAGGGGCCCTGCCAGATGCTCCATGAATGTTCTTCCCTTAGGTCTTAGCTAAATATCATCTCCTCAGAGAACCCTCCTTTGGCCCCCCCCATGTGAACCAGATCTGCCCTCCTGCTCCCCATGGAAGGCAACTCTTCACAAATGCCGCAAAAGCGCTGCACATTCAGTGGACAAATTGTAAAGGAAATGACAAGTGGCAAAATCTGCCAATTAAAAATGTCCACTTTGGAGGCATTTACATTCCAAGAAGTCTTGGATTTCAAGAAGTCTCTTTTCAAATGCTAGGGAAAGTGGTTGGGAATAGGTCATAGGGATCAGTAGGGAAGCCCTGGTTCTGCAGAAAATATAATCACTTGTCATATAAGGATGGGGACACCTTCTGAGAAATGCATTGTTTGGGGATTTTGTCATTATCAAATACCACAGAGTGTAAATTCACAACCTACACATCACAGTCCACACACACCAAGGCTATTCAGTACAGTGTATGGGGATAGTGCCACCTATCTGGTCCCTCGCTGACAGGTGGCTGTGTTATGGTCCAGGGGCTACTCTGGGATTCCCCATGGAAGCTACCTGAACCCAGAAGGGTGGTACAGCCCAGAGCCTGCATTTCCCAGTGGGGTAGGTCTGGGGGTCTGCAGGGCTAGCTGTGAGATCCTGGGCAAGTGTTTTAACCTAAGACTCAATTTTCTTTTCCTTAAAATGCATATAGTAATATCTACATTGTACTTTTTCCTTTTTTTTTTGGAGTACGGGATCCAGGAGCCCCGTGCCCTAGGTCTGGGGCATCGTGGACATGTGATGAATGGCAGGCATGCGTGTTAGCACAGGGAATCAAGCCAACTTACTGATGTCCCTGATGAAGAAGCTGCTGGTGTAGTTTTCATACTTGAGCTTGTGGACAGCATCCACCACGACTTCTATGGGCAGTCTCTCCTCAGCAGCTGGACAGGCACTGCCCTCTTGGCACATTACTGTGTACTTGTTGTACTCCCTGTGGCCTACTCTGACCCTCTCGCCTGAGAGTGTCGCTGGGCCACATGTCACCCCTCGGGGGTCAGTAGAGCTGAAATCAAAGACAGACATCTTTACCCTAGGGCCCATGTTTGCTGGTGACTTCCTATGGGTCATACCTAGAGAGCCACCTGAGGACACATTGATTTCTCCCCAGGGCATAAGGAACTGTTCTCGCCAGGAGGCCAAGCTCTGCCTCAAGAGATAGTATTTAAGGACAGCTCCACATTTCAATGCCTCTGGCCTAAGTGAATCTGGAAATCTTTAGATCCTTGGTTAATTTCCTTATTAAAATTTTTTAATTCCTATTTCCCATTTTAATTAGAAAATCAATACATGCTAATCATAAAAATTAAAAAGCTAAAGATGCATATAAAGGGATTGTGTGTGTCTCCTTTAACCTAATCTCACTCCCCAGACAAAAACAGCATTCATAGCTGTATCGCTCCAGACCTTTTCAATGAATATTCAAAGCAATCACATCTTCACCCATCTATATGCACACACATGTATTGTTAATACATGCACATAATTGATTTATTTCTCAACTACATTATATATTATAAATATCTTTTATTTATGAAACAAGATGGCTTTTTCCCCATGAACATATTTTGGGGCGCTCTCCACTACAGACCATACAAACATAGATTGTGTCGTTCATTTCAATGCTGTACATCAAGCCAGGGTGCAATGTGCACACTGCATTAAACCTCCCTGTGCTGATCACCAAAGGTGTCATAATGAACACTTCATTTATGTTTGCATTTGTGCATTTGTCTCAGCATCTCTCTGGTAAATATTCTAATTTTAAAGCCAGAAAAGTGAGACCTCAATGGCTAACTTACACTCGCAAACAGTGGCCAAGCCAGGATGATGGCTGAGAGTTCGCTCAGTTATGCTCCATTTCCCAAGAACTTAGACTATGAGGGAAGGAGCCACACAGGAGGGCAATGCAGGTCCTATATGCCAGGTAGCTGGTTTCTTAAGGAAAGTCCAAGTGCACTGGGTGAACAGTGGTCAGCAGAAGAAGGAATTGTACTGACCCTGCCTGGGGGCATTTCTAGAGGCTACAACAGAGTTTGGGCTGGGCTTCAGGGCTATCCAGATCCATGCCCAGAGTTCTTGTGTCTATTTTCAACTCTTGGGGCAAATCATTTGTAGCTTTGATTTTTCCCTTCATGCCCCGCTGTGGTGCCATGAGCACTAATGAGACATTACCAGGGCATTTGGATGAGTGGATTGAGATTGCAGTGGTTTTCTTACATTCCCGTAATATCCTAGTCTAACATAAACTTGTTCAGGAGATTGGTTTAGATCTCAATATTCTTTCCCCTACCTAAGCAAGGAGGATAGGTTTGAAAATCATAGGCATTTGTTTTTGTTTTCTCCCTTATCATGAATGGATAGGCCATTGCTCGGTCACCCTTATTTTCTTTAGAAAATAAGTTTTAGCAAAATGCCGAGAAGCCCGAGTGGTTCCACTTACCCTTTGCTGCTCTTTACACTGAATCTCAAGTCTCTACTGATTGCTGTCAGCCACCAGCAGGTGAAATGTCCGGAATAATTGTTTGCCTCACATTTTAGAAAGGTCTTATTTGGGGATTCTGGATGAGCAAAGAACAAAAATTCAGTATTTTGTGGTTTTCTTTTAGAAAAGCTTGGACTGTGATTAGTCATAAGCCACCAAGTGATAAAAGATTGAGGTTCTTCTACTTATTTCCTTGGGGAATGATGCTGCTTCTCCGGCAGGAGGCTCCTAATAGGAGGCTGATTCTGCAGAGGCTACTATGGCCCAACATGACCACAGGAGATGCTGCACAGGCTCAATGGTGTCAGCCTGTGCTGAGTGACACTCTGGTTACCAAGTATCTACCAAGAGATACTGTGGGTACCTAAGTAACCAGGAAGTGATACATTGGCTACTTTCTGCTAGTCATTCAATAATAACACTATTGTTTACAGAGAACTTCAAGAAAAACACCCAGTTTTCCATGGAACACAACATGAGAATATGATGTTTGATCACCCAAAAGGTCCAGGAAAGCAAAGGAAAATACAGGATCTGGGTGGTTTCAGTATGGACTTGATATTAATTCATTAACTACACTAATTTAGTCTTGCCTTTTGAATTTTTGTGTCTCTTATGATGCAGAAGATGGACACCAACCCAGGGAATGGAATTACCTTTCTGACCTTTTAATATATCAGAGGACCAAACCCCGTCTTCTTTTTTGTGAAGCAACAGGAGCGACCGGCTGAGAACGTCACCTCCTTTGTGACAGGTGTACTGGCCAGCATCTCCAAACTCTTTGACTTGGATGGTCAAGGTCTTGCCAGAGCCTAAGACTTCACTGTCCTGGTCTGAGGTCCAGGTGATGCCATCTTCTTCATCGGTATCGCAGGTAAGAACCACCATTTCTCCCGGGGCATCAGGGTGCCAATCCAGCTCTACCACATAAACTGGAGCACAAGGAAGAGGAGAACTGCATGTAAGCTCAGTGAACTCCAGGGCTGCAGCTTATAAGGCATCTGGGCATTCCTTCTGCCAAGCACAGCCCTGCTTATAACAATAAGCGCTTGCCAAGGTCATCTCAGGGTACTGGATCCCACTTGAGCTTGGTTGTGGATGACAGAAGCAAAGAGGTTTATAACTGCCAATAACTCATGAACTGGTTGGAGGTCTTTAGTAATTAACTTTTGATTAGCTGGCAGACCCTGACACACCAAAAAGGCAAACAGCACAAGAGTCTTGCAGCATGTGGAAGTAAGAGGAAGCCCCTATTCTGCTAATACATATGCTATTATTCTACTAACAGTTTTGATTTCACATTGGGATAATAAAGAGGTTCTCCAGAATCTTCAGACATTATTTTAAACAGCCAAGACAATAATACTAGCTAACATTGGGGGGCCTCCCTGATGGCGCTAGGGGTTAAGCACCGCACTATGAAGAAATCTGCAGCCTCTGCAGCACAAGTTGGAACCCCAGCCAGCCAGGGAGCAACCCACATGGTACAGAAGACCTCTCCTGTCTCATTTGCTGCTCCCCTCAGCAGTGTGTTTCAGTCAATCTACCTGTTCTGTGCCCACTCTGTCTCTGGTGAATCCTCTCACCCCTGCATCTCTGGCCTGTACCCCAACTCTTGTTTGCATAAATAAATAAATCTTAAAAAAAAACCTAGCTAACATTTACTTTCATTTTAGCAACTGTCTTTCTAAGCCATGTAGTAGGGATCACTTTGCAACCCCCAGTTTACAGTTGAGGAAGGACACTCAGTCTCAGAGGTGACCCAGCTCAAGGTCACACAACCTATTTCAAAGGCAAAAACAGCCTTTGAACCCAAATCAATGTGAGTCTAAGAAGTCCTATGCTTCATTAGCGGTGAAGCACCTTAGTGCCAGCTGCAGGAGTGGGAGATGATAGGATACAGCTCTTATACTTTTCTAGCATTCACGTTGGAATTTTAAGACTATGATCATATGATACAGCTGTTTTTTTTCAGTATTGCTGCCTAAGTCCATATCTCTTTTCCCACTGTGGTCCACCAAAGACTCCTTCCCTGGCATCTAATATGAAAGCCAAACAGACAGATACTCTCCAAGGAGGGAGAAGTATTACTCAGTGATGCCCCCACCAGGAAGGCCCACTCATGCTTGCCCATTTTAGCCTAATTTTCCCTCAGGTGCTGTCTGAGAGTTCTGACTTAGATTCTGGGGTCTCCACCAAGAATAAGAGGAGGCTCATTACCATCTTTTTCCAGTTCCCAGATAGCCATGAGGGGTGTTGCCAGCAAAATCAGGGTTATCCAAGGGAGGATCAACTGTTGCTGATGCATCTGCAGGAGGGGACAGAGAAGACAGAGGAAAAGAGAAGAGGGAATATCAACATTTTTTCAGTTTCTTCTGGAAGCCATATCCACATACTGTGTACATTATTTTAATCTTTATTTTCCCCTACAGTCAGGTTAATATGTTATGAATTACAGGAGACCTATGCAACTCTCTGGGTAAGAACTTCTCCAAATAGAGAATCACAGACTATCTGGACTTGAAAGAGAGAAAGCCAGCCATCTGATATAATCCTCTTATTTTTTAAGATGAGAAAACTCAGCCGAGAGCAGGTATGGGCCTTGCTTGGATCGACATTCAGAAATTATTTACTTGTTCCTTAGTATATAAAGGGCACTGAGTTAAAGGAGTTTGGAGGGGAAAAAGGGTATTACCTGGGTCCTGGCTTTTAGGAAGCAAATACTTTCATTAAACAAATATTTATGAAGTGAGCATGTTTAAGCAAGTGCCTCACCTCCAGGTGGGGAGATAAGCTACACACCTGGGCTGTGGAGCACAGGCAGTGTTTGCCATGATGGTGAGAACTCCTGCTAATCCTGGGTGGGAGGTCTTGCTATGTTCTTTAACCCCTTATATTATGAAATGCGTGAGTGGCAGCAGGTCTTCCAGAACCTGGTCAGTGCTCTTACTACTGTGGCACAGAGCTTTTGCAGGTACCTCCTAACAATTTAGTCCAAGTAATGACTAGAGCAAAACACTAGCCGCCACAGAGCATCAAATAAGCTTGGAGTCAAGCAGACATAGGCTTGAATTCTGGTTCTACTACTCTCTAATCGAGTAATGTTGGCCAAGTTATTCTTTGAACCTCAGTCTTATCATCTACACAGTGGATATAATTACCCTCTTAAAGGGTTGGGAGGATGCAATGAGATGACATAGCTGACACCCAATAACATGTCAGCTTGCATCTATGGGAGGGACCAAAATGGCCTGCCTGGCCTGAGGGAAATACCCACAGAGGAGTGCAAATATGCAGTCTGTACAACCCAGATGTCAGCACTCTGGGAAAGGAAACAACAGATTCCTGGCATCTCCTGGTGATTCCTTTTACTCTGTGAATGCTGGGGTTTCCCCCTTGGCTGCATGCCCAACCCCACCTCTCTGACTTCAGATGTATTTGAGAATTTCAGGTGAATTGCACTGCTGGGTCAAGGGTGGCCCCAGTGATGGTTGTAAGAAATAAGTCCCATTTTAGTATTGCTTATATTTTAAACCAACACTTTGTATTATATGCAGATATAATTTAAACCGGATATATTTTATCTGCATATTTATATGCAGATATAATTTAAACCAGATATATTTTAAACCAACACTTTGTATTATATGCAGATATATATGAATATGCAACTTCTAGAATATACCAATATGCCACTTGTTTTACATACAGATACAGTTTATATTGTGCACACATATATGTATATAAGGGAACAAAATATAGCGCAACCCTCTAGATCAGCTGATCATAGGGAGCTGTACCCCACAGCCCACATGTCCTCTGTAAGGTAAATTTGAGTCTACTTTTTTTTACTGAAGTAATATTGATTTACAACACTATATAATTTAGGGGCCTCCCTGGTGCCTAGGGTTAAGTCTCAGTGCTACCACCGCCAAGGCCCACTGACGGCCTGAGTTTGATCCCCAGCCAGGGTGCTAACCCACATTTGGCACATGTGTCTCATCTACTGCTCCCCTTAACAGTGTTTTTCAGTAGATCCACCTGTTCTGCTCCCCACTATGTCTCTGGTGAACTCTCTCAACCGTTGTACTGCTAGCTGCATGCCCAGCCCCACATCTCTGACTTCAGATGTATTTGAGAATTTCAGGTGAGTTGCACTGCTGGGTCAAGGGTGGCCCCAGTGATGGTTTGCATAAAAACCCAGTTTTATGCAAAAAAAAAAAAAAAAATAAAATCTTAAAAAAAACCTCAAACACTGTATAATTTAGGAGAACAGGTTCATACAGCCTCGGGTGTATGTCATTATACCACACCCACCACCAAAGCACCCATAGTCCTTTACACTAGACCATTTGTCCCCTGCCACATTTGCTCCTCTCCCATTCCAAGTTTGAGAGTCTTCAGGTTTAAAACTGTAATTTCATAGATTTCCTAAACTCCTGAACTCCTTGAATGAGAGATGCAGGGCCCCCAGGTATGTCAAGGCTCTTGAATGCTGCTGCCATTGTAGGCACCCCAATCACACACTTGGGTGGGCACCTCTTTTCAAGTTTTATATTTATTACCTTGTAATTAGAAAAAAGAATTATTCTATAAAAATATTGAAAATATTTCTAAACAGAGTTATTTCTAAGAAGAAAAAAGAATTATTAAAAAATAAAATGATAGAGTCACAGAAGACCTGGTTGCCACAGGCTAAGGGCCTGAATGCCTGCCTTTGCATCCCAGTTCTGCCACTTGTGCCTTGGGTGACACTGGGCAAGTCGCTTGACCTCTTTAAGCCAGACATGCTTCATCTGTAAAATGGGTATCCAGTGAGGGAGACAAATTGCATGAAACATTTTCCATTGGGATTCAATATGGTGTGTCCTCACAGAGCCCCATTCCCTGGCCAAACCACTTTGTACAGTTGCAACATTATACTTCTTTCCTTAGTTGTCTCCCCTATGACTCTGGGCTCTCTGAGGCGGGGAGCATATTTATTTTAGGTCACACTGTAGCCCTAGAGTCTAGCATGGAGACTCTAATATAGAGGGATTTCATTTAAATAATTAGAAGGACGTATGGACAGAAAATTGAAAAATTCAGTACAATATAAAATTACAGCAAAATGTACTGTACAAGGTGTTAAACAAGGAGACAGCAGGTTCAAAATGGGGGTCACTCATTCTAAGCCCATGCCAGCAAACCAAACTTGGATACTGAAGCTAATTGTGTTATCAACATATTCTAGAAATGTAAGCTTTAGCCAGACATGCTGGAATTTTCTGGTCAGCATTGCTGAGATGATCCATCTGACACAACCTCTCCTATCCCCTAAAGGAAGGTGACCCTGCCTGAAACAATTCCCTTTTCCCTAATCTTGCCCCCTTTCATCTAAAAACACTTTCCATTTAGTACAGCTTTGAGGAGCTGCTTTGTACTTCCTAGATGTGATGCAGCCTGATTCATGAATTGTTGAATAAAACCAGTTATATCTTTATATTTCCTTTGTTAGAAAAAAAATTTTTTAACAGGGGCTCCTAAATTCTTCCTGAGATATCTTGAAATTCCATATTTGAAAAGTGGGCTCTGAGCCCTGGTAATTTCTTTGTTAAAATGGTATCTTAATGTGATCATTTTTTTAACCTGAAAATTGTTGCAACCACTTTTACCTAGGCAGGAATAAAACACCAGGACAGTAAAGATTTATCTTTCTTTTTTCTTCTCACAGTTTAAAACTCTTCAAAAGGTATTTTTAAATATGACAGTTGTTTTCCATTTTTTAAGTGGAGCCAAAAGAGTTAAGTCAAAAGAACTGAACCAATCTAGTTGTCACAACTGTTAAACCCACCACAAGTCTGAGGTGGAGCGCACTCTAAAACATTCAGTTACAAGGTATAATCTGAATGTGATAACATTATTGAATTCATTATTAATGAATGAAAGACTTTAAATGTTTATAATCTTAAGTAATCAATGCTCACTTAACTGTACAATCAATTTTAACTGATAGGTATTTATATCAAAGAACACATTTTTATATACATACCACTGTAAGACAAAAACAAACCTTTCCAGAAAATGAGCATCATTCATAGACCTTGGTATACAATGATTATTAGTTGATTATTAAAGTTAATACTTATATATCAGTTCGCAAAGCACCAACTTTTCACTAGTCTCCCAGTAGGTTAAGTCACAAAGAATGCTTCCAGGAACCCTCCCATTCCACAGTGCTGGGCTTATGGGTAGCACACCACGAGCTGACTGAGCAACCAGTTGGCTGGAGGAGGGCCAGTAGGGGCGGGGTAAATGCTTACCTTGGTTCTGGCCGGGCTGTAGGGCTTGCTAGGTCTGAAACCCTTGCTTCTGCTGTTCTACTGGTGCCGCTACTGGAGTTTATATACTCTACCCAGCTTTCTGGTATGAACTTGAAACTGATTGGACCAGTTGCAACACTAGGACAAATCTCAAAACACTCTGGGGGAATTTCAAGTTCCCTTTTTGTTTTTTTTTCTTCTGTTTCTATCAATAACGTGTAAGGAGCATAGCATCAAAATCCTAGGTAATGAACTACGAGGAAATGAGTAGGGGAAAGGAAGGAGTCTGAAAACTCCCATCTTTGGGTTGGGTTGACATCAAGGTCAAGGAGTCTAGGCTGGTCACCCCCAGAGGCTGAGTTCAGGATTTCTAGCAATTGTGTGTTCAAGAGCCCAAAGCAAAATCTCTGAATATAAAGAGGATGAGACAAAGGGCACAAGGTTTAGTATATTGGGGCAACTCCCCCCTCCCCCACATTACTCCCTAACATCTGGATTTCAGAAACATTACCACCCATTCATTGCATTGTGGCTCCAGGCACCCATTCTAACTGTCCCCCCTTCAACTCCCCCCTCACACTCACATACTTCCATGTTCATCCAAAGAACAGCCCTGAGGAGATGATAAAAACGCATCTACTACTACGAAGACTCAAGAATGTCAAGAGACATGGCCTACACTCATAGGTTCGCTCATTGACAGATGGGAGCACAGACAGTCCATGGACCTGCACTATATCCTTACTTGCGCACAAATCTATGGTCCTACAAATTCTACGCTGATGCGCGAAGCGAGCTAGTTATTTCTAACGGAATTTAACACTGCTAAGAGGGCCTCAAATGTGTACCGCGGTGTTAGACATCCCAAGAACCCCAAGAGCCCCTGCACAGGAACAAGGACGCGATCGTACCCAGAGCCGCCGACAGAGGGCGCTGCAGGCGAGGCAGCCCAGCACCCAACTCGGGTCGCCTGCGCAATCCAATCCGACTTTTCCAGCCCCAGCCCGACGGGTCCCACCGCTGGGGAAGTTCCCTGGCCCTGCCAGCTTTCAGGTGACCGCACATTTTCGGCCTAACTTTGCTCTCAGTCTCAGCTGGAAGAAAACGGGAAACTCTGGCGAGAGCAGCGGAGCTTCCCAGCCGCAGGCTTCCTCCCTCCTCGGCCATGTGGGAAGGCGGCTGCTTAGGGGTTAGTCTCATTGGTTCTGAGCCCTTGTGCTTAGCTGGGCGGAGGCCTTACCTCCAGCTGGGAGTCACCTCCTGTCTCTGTCCTCCAGGGTCTGATACAGTTACAAATGACCAGTCTCATAGATTGGCATTAATAAACTTGTCTTTCCCCTATTACCTGACAGGTTTGTCTTTGATGGGCATTAACAAGATTAACAGTTTCTTTCCCCCATATTTTGCAATTTCCCCCTTTGATGTGAAAATATATTATTGAGCAAATGAATATAATAAAGATTCCAGCAGAACTTCCAGCCCAGGTGCAATGAGCATTCCAATGCAGGCATAATTAACAAGTTTGCTTACTTACAGCTCCTTCCCCTTCAAGATTCAAGGCCAGGACCTCAGCACTCTTATCTACAAGGTCCAGCAGCCAGCCAAGCTGGTCTGTCTCTCCAAGGCCATCCCTGAATGCCTGCATCTTTCCCCCCTTACCTTGTCCCTCTTGTCTGGGGACTTTGCTGCAAATGGTTGTGCCTGCTGAACGACGATGTTATCAATGTAACAGATATGTGTTACCCAAGGCTGGCCTCAGTTTCCCTCTGCCAATAAAAGGAAACCGAGTTTGAGGAAAAGGAAAGCGGTTTTATTTGTCAACAAATGAGGAGGGCGGCAGACTCATGCCCGAAAGACCACCATCCAGCTTTTTGGCAGTGGGCAGGGGTATTTATACTAGGGGGAGATGGGTAGGGGCTCACCAAGGGGAGAGGGAAGGGGTCCACACTGAGACAAGTGGGCGCCAGCTCAACAGGGAGATGGATGGGTGCCAGCTGATTTTCATTAAGGGGAGGTGGAAAGTGTCAGCACAGAGACGGGGAAGGGGAGGGGTCTTCACAGAGGCCGATGGGTGTCAACTCATTCATCTTAAGGGAAGGGGAAGGTGTCAGCACAGAGACGGGTGATCGCCAGCTTGTTTTCATTAGGGGAAGGGGAAGGGTCAGGGTCTGCACGGAAACCGGTGGGTGCCAGCTTGTTTTTCTTCTCAAGGGGAAGGGGAAGCTGCAACAAATGGGAAAGACAAGCTAGTAATCCTGTTAATGCTAGATAAGGGGGAATTGCAAGAAATGGGGAAAAGACAAACTTGTTAACGGTATCATATGGACACAGGTGTGCATAAAAGGAACGCTTGGTCTTTAAACAGGTGCTCACACCTTATGGGACTACCCAGGTCTCGGACCTCAAGCATGAGTAATAAAGCGTCTCCTGACCTCACCATTCCTGAAGTAGCGCTTGTTCTTCCTCTGCCTGGGTAAAAAGTAGAATTTATTTGTACAACAGTTTGATAGATTTATCTTTATGACTGAGTCTCCCAGATGAACATACCTGCATTTCAAGGAAGAGAAAGTTAAACATCAGCTATTGAAGAAAATCAAGCTCATGCCTACCGGTCTCAGTGCGACCCCTCCCTCCTCCCCTTTGCAGACCCTACCTAGCCCATCTCGACTCTTTTTCCCTCTGTCTGAATACCCCTGCACTCTGCCAAAGAGCAGGACGGTTGTCTTTCAGACATGAGTCTACTGCCCTCCTCATTTGTCGACAAATTAAACCACTTTCCTTTTCCTCAGACTCTGTTTCCTTTTATTGGCTGAGGGAAACTGAGGCCAGCGTTCGGCAGCAGCTCCAAAAAGGTTGCCTCCTAGGCCTCAAGTGAAAGGTGGTTCTCCGGTTAAAACAAATGTCCTGCTCATTGGATATATGAACATAGTGGTTTGCATCGTGTGTTGGTTGTATGATAGCATTTGTTTGAGTGCGCATATGCTTTTACAATGGGCGTTCCTGGGGAGTAAGACTAGGCGGTGTTTAAAAAAAAGAAAGGAAGGAAGAGGGCCTCCCTGGTGGCTCAGCGGTTGAGCGATGGGTTGTGAAGCTGCCCACAGCTTCTGCAGCGCTGGTTCGATCCCTGCCCCCACATGGCGCGCAGACCGCTCCTGCTGTGCCCGCTGCTCCCCTCAGCAGTGTGTTTTGTCAGTCTGCCTGTTCTGTTCCCCGCTCTGGCTCTGGTGAATTCTCTCACCCTCCCGCGCTTCTGACTGTACCCAGTGCTTAAAAATAAATAAATAAATAAATAAATAAAAATAAAAATAAAGAAAGAAAGAAAAACAGCAGACCCCAAATGGAGTCTTTTCATGTCAAGCCCCTGCAAGACCTACTACCTAATCTAACTGCAGTTTCAGCCTCTTCCCCAATTGGAAGTTAAAACTCACCAATTTGGAGTTTCTGGGTCTGTACTAGTGAGGTATCTGCATAAGACCCTCCTCCCACTGCCCCTAAACTAGGTGGCTTTGCTTGAAATAGTCTTTCTTTTGTCTTGCTAATGGACTTGTCCCACCTTCTGCCTGACTATAAAAACCTTCCATTTTGCATCACTGCTAAGGGCAGATGGACAGCTGCCCTATTCACAAATCTTTTACAATGCACATTAGAGCTTTAAGTATTTGTTAGTCTTTTGTTATTTAACAGCAGTTTTGAGTATGGGGCCTTTTCATTGATTTTTCTTTCAGTTACTGTAACCATGATACTGCACATGCACACACATACATATATTGAACTATGTATCAACTTGTGGGTTCTTTCTGTAAATCTGTACATTTGTCCCCCACCCCTCTTTATTCACTGGGAATACATTCCAAGACCCCCAGTGGATGCCTGAAACCATGGACAGTTGGGAATGAAACCATGGATAGTACTGAATTCCTTTTTTACTGTGTTTTTTCCCTCTACATATGCATCTATGATAGAGTTTAATGAGTTAGGTACAGTATAGGATTAACAGTAACAATAATTAAATGGAATAATTATAGCAAAATGATGTTATAAAACTTATGTGAACCTGGCTTCTATAAAAATATCTTATTGCATGTTTTCGAGGGTAGTTTACTATGGGTAATGATGAGGTTTTTGGAGTGCTGAGTCCTTGGATTCACTCTGGGAAAGGTTTTACCAGAGCTCCCGTTTCCGCTGCATGCGGCAAGTTTCTCCATGAGACAGAGACAGTAGTTCTATTTAAAGAGCAGGTTTATTAGAAAAGGGATAGGACAGTAAAAGACATTTGCATAGACATTAGCGGACAGGAAGAGCTGCCCCTTAGTGGGGGCAATGTGAGGTTTTAGCCTCTTCTTTTGGTGGGGAGGGCCTCATCTTTGGAAGTGATCAGATTGTTCCATTTTTGCCAATTTTGGGCAACTATGCAAAACCAGGAAGGGACCAGAGATTCCAGGGTGGGCCCAATCTCCATATCGTTACCCTCAGGTCTGTGCTCCACTCCCTATAGCATCTGATCCTGCTTGGGTCTTATGCCTTGTGATAAGGCACTGGTGCCTAAGGGTCATGACCTCTCCAGCTACGTTAATGGTCATGTTATTTCCCTCTACCCCCACCTCTTTGTGAGTCAGGTTCTGGTCTTAGGGCACCTCCTTTCCAGTCTTACTATTCTTGTCCTCAATCAGGTAACTGAAACCACAGAAAACAAAAGTGTGAATAAGGGGGTGGGGGGAGCTATTTATTTTCCCCAACATGTCGTCAACATTTAGTATGAAATTGACATGAAATGGTTTCATTAATTCATCTGCAGTTGCTGCATCATTAGATAGGAGCCCTTCTGTGACCCCCTCCATAAATACATACATACGTAAAATAAGACAAGTAAGTCAGAATATTTTATCAGTATGTTTATAAATTCATCTGTAAAGTTAAGGAGAGTGATTTGAAGCATAAAAATCTGTTAAAATAGTTGTAAAGGCAGGACTGGACCACTGCAGGTTTTCTGATCCCATGCAGACTGGGTAAAGGAGGAGTGAGAGTCCTCAGCA